CATTAATTTGGCAAAATGTATTGACTCAGAGCATATTGTTAATCAGAACGTTTAGACACTGACATTAGCATGCAGTTGAACTCATCGCCCATCCCATTATTGATAATGCTTCCTTCTTTACACTTTATCTTTCAATAGGCATGTTAGGCTTCTTTCATAACTCGGGGGTGTCAAAATTAACCAAAATTAACACAATGCGACATTTTGCCCATTTGTCCCATTATTGTCGCATTATTGTCGCTCTTTGAATAATCTAGATATGCACACAAAAGCAAGTCTAGACAGCTTCAGCTAGCTCTATTCCAATGGAATCCTAAACGAGAAGGTTGATACGACTGACCCAAACAACTACAGGCGTTTTGTAGTAAGCAGCTGCTTGGGTCAACTATTTTGCAACTTCATAAATGAAAGAAAAATGGAACACATTGAAAAAACTCTTTTACAAGAACACTGTCAGTCTGGATTTAGAAGGGGATACCGAACATCAGCTAATGTATTTGTTCATTAAACATATATATATTCTACAAAAAGTAAAAAGAAAAGAATATACAGTTGCTTTGTAGACTTTCAAAATGCCTTTATTTCGTTGACAGATCATCAGTTGAGGAAATGTATTAAAAATAATATCATCACTATATCTCTTATGAAGTGAAAATTGATAGGGGGATTTCACAGTCCTTTAACACCAACTTTGGGGTAAGGATGCATTTTGTCTCCCACATTATTCAATATATTCCGCAATGATCTTCCACATCATATTTAGGAGATAAACATACTGTGTTTTCAATGTAGAGCTAGGTTACCTGTAGATTTAACCCCGCTAAATTGAATTTGGAACCGAACGTCTATGTACTCCTCACTGAAGTCTTGTAGCTCTACATTGAAAACACAGTATGTTTATCTCCATTCTACCATGACTAAATAAAACGCGAACTCTTTGGTGTTAGCAAATATACTGAGTGAAGCGGCATGGGTTGAGTTCAGTGTTTTGAGTGGGTTATCGATCTGAATTGCGGAATCACCGAACAAAATATGGTGCTGTATATACGCAAGCAGTTTGTTTACACCGTAATACTTCGCTCGAACATATGACAGGCATTGAAAGTATATAATCACGGCAAACTTGGTAAGCTTACATGAGGTGGGCATCCCTAAAGAAAACAAAGCAAGCTTTGCAAGGCTTTCGCTCTACATCGCACGTCACCATTATGACGTCATATCGCTCATTGTGACGCAAACGATATGACGTCACAGTCGTATATAGAAAAGCGCCAAAATTCCAAGCTCTCTGTTGTCTCCAAAACGTAAATACATTCCCTTTGCTGATTTCTGTCGTATTTTTCTGCACGAAATGTATTGCCACACATCCTTTGAATAGTGTAGTAACCGCATCTGTGCATTTTGTAACCTGTAATTGTAGATATAATTATTTAAATGTGCCTACCGACAATGACTGAAAATTGTACTATTCTATCAATTTTAGCTTCCGGGGTGATGCGGCCGTCAAACCAGCTGTTTCAATCAGAGGGTTTTTTTGTGATTTAATAGCCTCTGATTGACCAATCAGAATCGAGTAAATTCCAAATTCATGGTAGAATATAATATAACAATTATTATTATTCAAACATTCGTCATTTGTTGTTTCCCGATGACTCAAAACAAAGAGAAAAACTACAAGCGTTACTTGATGGTCTAAGTGTATTTTGAGCAACAAATAACCTAAAGAGAAATGGTGGCAAAACAAATTTTGGTGATACAAAAATACTAGTTACGGCTAGATATAATTACTTATAGATATAGATAAAATTACTTAGGAATTACATTTGAAACAAATGGTAAACTTAAAAATAGTGCTAAACCTCTCCTGAAAAAGGCCCTAAGGCCTACCACAAGCTTCAGTCTCCATTCTTAACCAAGATATACCTTCAGCTCTTGCATGCAAATATTTCAAAACATTAATCGAGCCAGTAATCCTATATAACAGTGTAATCTTGGGTAAAGGGTCAATCCTCCTGAACAACTCTGATTCATTCATTGATCCTCGAGAAACTGCAGCTCAGATTTTGAAAACCCATGACTGAAGGATTTGCGAAGCATGTTTACCGCCAACTGGGCGACGACAGATATTATGCAAATCTTTTCATGTTCTAATTTAAAGTGCTCAAGTGATTTGATGCACTTCGCTAGGCGAGGCCCTTGCGCCTGCACACGTACAATAACAGCAGTCGTTGTGAATAGGTAACACTCTGACGGTTCTCAGGTTTCCTTTTCAATCTGTCGTGTTCATCCTGCATCTCCAATACAATAAACCTCTCCTACCTTTACCTTTGTATACATGAAAACATCATAGGGGCGTGGGAAGAAATCTCGAAGGTGATGACACAGCGAATTATATATTGTCCTAAATTAACATATAGCAATGAGGGTCACTGACGGTGGTATTCTTTTCCATCTTCCGGACACTCTAATGTTTACACTATTTTGTGACATTCATGTACAGAACTTCTTTTGTTAAATTATATTGCGAGATAATCGTGTTGTGGACTTTTGATAAAAAGTGTTGTGTACAAAAAAGACAAGAACGCGAGATTTTTGCCTTCTCGCCTTCTCGCATTCTCGCACTTATGGTATATTCAGCTCGTTTCCAAAGGTCGAGATCGCGAGAATGTTCCTTACAGTATTCCATAATTTCCAGATATGTCACGCGTCAACAACTTGACTGGCTGTCGAATGCGAGAAGCTTTTTCAAGTAGACAAACAAATGTCAGACCTTAGTGAGTATACAACATAAGCTGCCTTGTCAAGCGCTAGAAGGTTAACCGTCATATTAACCGTTAACATATACATGTAAAGAAAATATTTGATCACATGCCATTGCAAATTGCAGTTGAAGGTATTTTATTTCACATCACAACTCTAACATACATTCACATACAGCAATAAGATCGAATACATCATAAAACATGGCGAAGGTACTTTATGTCAAGTGAAGTAATACTTATAGACTAAAAAGAACTAATAATATCAAGTACGTTGAAACTAACCTAACCAGATTATGGGGTAAATATTTTTCAGATTTAGCCAAACCCTACCATTCCGAAGGATTTGATGATGTATTTAAAGAAGATATAACTAATAAGGTACAGATATTTAAACAAGTACGAGAGAGGCCTGACGAGGAATTGGAAAAAAGAATTTACATGTCACGAGATAAGAGAGGCCGTCAAATCCCTCAGCAGGAATAAATCCCCAGGTCCGGATAAAAGATTACAAATGAACATATTATCTATGCAGGAGAACATCTTATTTATTCCTTACGTATACTTTTTAATCATATGATGAAACTACAATATGTACCCTATGATTATAGACTTGGTATGGTCATACCAATATATAAGGGGAAGAATGACCATCGAAATTATAGAGGTATTACTCTCACATCATGTCTCTGTAAGCTCTTTGAAAATATACTGCTCAAACGTATAGAAGACAAACTATGTAGGCTTAACCCAGACTTTCCTGATATGCTACAGTTTGGCTTTAGAAAAGAACATGGAGCTATTATGTCAGTATTTACTTTGATCGAAGGCATTCAGTATTACATACAAAGGGACTCTGCAGTCGATGCAGCTTTCTTAGATAATGAAAAAGCATTCGATAGGATATGGCACGATAGATTATTTTACAAACTACATAAACTGGGCATTAGAGGTAATACATGGAAATTACTACATCATTGTTATACAAATAGTTATGCTTATATTTCCTACCAAGGTGAACAATCAGACAGATATATGGTTCATCAAGGTGTTGGCCAAGGCAGAGTAACCTCTGCTTGTTTTTTTCTTGTTTTTATAAATGACCTCATTACAGCCCTTAGACAAGCACAATTTGGCATTCGTGCATATGGTATGGATATTCATGCAGTCTTGCTTGCCGACGATACTACACTAATTAAGGCATCACCGAGAGGCTTACAAACATCCCTTGATATGGTACATACATATGCCTCAAGGTGGCGCCTAACATATAATCCATCAAAAAGTGCAATAATTGTGTTCACCAAAGCAAAACGCAAGAGGTATAACTGTCATTGTAAACTTGGAAATATACACATCACTACAACTGACTCTACGGTGTATGGTGGAATACTTCTAACATACAAACTATCCTGTAAAACAAGAATTGAAAAGTACTGTCAGAAAGCAAGACAAAATATTAACTCCCTAAGATCTTTAGGATTTAATAGTTATGATCTTCATCCAATTTCAAGCGTGAAAATATGGCTCAGAATGATACTCAAAACCAGCCTTTATGGATGTGAATTACTCTATGACATCAAGGGTCAACGTGCTGCTCTGTTGGAAGGCACGCAAAGATATTTTGCACGCATTGTACAGGGTCTTTATAAAAGATCTCCTTCAGAATCTACTATGTCGAACCTTTGATAATGCAAACTTTTATTTCTTGGTCGTTTATGCAATCTGAACTATAATAACTTTGCAAAAGATATTTTTTGCGCGTCCATTGCAAGCCCTGTCTATTCAAAGACAATCTGTGGAGAACTTAAATCAACACTTGATAAATACAATCTGTGTCCCTACCTTCGTACATCTACTCAGTACGGTACTTTCCCTCCAAAATTGAAATGGAGAAATCGTGTTAACGACACTATATGCAAATACGAAGAACAATCATGGCTCAATGTATCAAATAACGCAAGCATGTCCCGTTGTAAGAGAATTCATACGAAATTAACATACCATGTACTTTGGCAATTAGATTTTCTGTACCGGGAATATCGACCTGCTTTACAAATCTTAGTGAAAGTCTCATCACGCAGTAAACTTTGAACAAAAAGTTCGAAAGAGTGCATGCTCTGTAATAGGCATGCGTTCGACTATGAAAGCCACATTATTTTACTCTGATCAAACAAATTTTAAGCAAGAGTCGTGTGACGCTCTTTGAAATCTTGGTAGAAAGCGCTTGCTCGATCTTACCTCAAAAGTTGTGAAGCCAAGACACTGGAAAAGAGGCTGGAAAATTATTCGACATCAAGGGAAAGTTTATTATATTGCAAAGTTGAAGTCATCCCTCTTTTTTTGTCACATGACACATGCATATGAAGCCATGTATTTGATGCACTATGACTAATTAAAACTTACATGAGATATGTATATTCATGTGTTATTCCTTTTTGAACACAATGTTCCTTCTACTCAGAGTATAGTCAGACTTGTTAAAAGGCTTCGCATCTTTGCCAATCGTATAGGGTTTCAACTTGAATCGTTTCATCATTTCTATTATATATGGTGCTTCTGGGTTTTGGAAAAGTTTGTCCCATTCAATAATTACCATGCGCACGTCAACCACATTGAAGAACGCCTCAGCACCCTTCATCACCTGTACTTCGTGGTCCTCACAGTCAAGTTTCAAAACAGCGGACTTGATATCAAACATCTCCAAAAGATCGTTCATCTGAATGGTGGTTATCGCGTCGCTGCTTTGATTGAGGTTAGTTTTCTTCTCAATACGAGTATGGGCAATACTACCCTTGTAAATCTTAAAGGCGATGGGTTGCCTTACATCAGACATTGCGTTGTGTATGACAAACATCTGTCCAGCAAACCCACCTTTTACCACACCTCGGCACAGGCGTTTGGTGTTGACATCATACGGTTCAACGGAGATGACCCTGTTCCCTAGTTTAGCTGCAGCGAGACTGAATGTTCCAATATTTCCCCCGACATCGATGAAAACGTGTTCTTTATTTTCTTTCAGTATTTCAAAAGAAGTGTACATGACATCCGGCTCCCAAACGCCAACTTTCTTCAGAGTGTTCGAAACAACGATATCGTCCTTGATGGCGTGGATAAAGATGCGCGTATTTCCAGCAGGTGTTTTTAGAGTCGCCTCATCATACACCTCATCCTCCGTACACATACTGTCGTCTGCTACCCATGACCCGTTCGTTCTTTTGTACGCAATTCCGTGCCAGGAAGGCATCTTCTTAAACGGCTGTGATTGAGGCAACGGTTCGGCCCTCACTTCAACTGGAAGATGCACCTCATTCACCGCCCCTTTGATGTCCAAAGACAGCTTACGAATGGAGGTTTGAATGTCACCAAGTTTCCCGTCCAGGTCAGACTTTGATCCGTTGAAACAAACAATTGCGTAAACAGCTGCAACTGTTATTGTTAACACAAGCACACGTCCGGAATACGATCGAATAATTTGCGATGGCATTTTGTTTCAAGCATTAATACTCTGCAAACATAAGATTACACGTAATAACTGGACCAGAAATGCTCCGTGCTTCAGCCTGAGGTGCTTGGGACCGTGTGTGAATCAGTGCACAATGTATAGAAATTTTCACAGGACGAAATGTCAGATTTTACACTTTAGAAATCAATGCAAAAGAGGTGGGACATATAATTACGCTGTTGATACAAGGCTTTACTTTAATACAAAACAATCACAAAATTCAATGTATTTATCTACACACAGAATTATCGCTGACGTATTTTGAGAACAATTGCAGAATCGTTAAGACATTGTTATGTTATTTCTGAAAAATATATCTGTGGAAACAATGAATTCCGTGACTATCAGATTAATTGAATGCAATATCATCCAGCTTGATGCTTGAGTGTGTGATCACTCCCTGACTGCACAATAATTTATATTGTCTACTTGATATTGTATGAGATCGTACAGTCGACTCTGACAATCCGATCATTGTCCAATCCGACATTATGTCTTATCCGAAAAATATGTTTGTCCTGTTCAAAGGGCCCAACTCCATTCACGGTGTGGCAAGCGCAAATTAATCCCTTAAAAACTTTTTCTCGAGGCTTTCAGTCTAGGCTCGGGTCACTCCACTCTGCTAGGCCCAAAACACTCGCTCAAGGCTAAGATCACTCGGTTGCTCTCAAATTAATCCCCTACATGTTTACCGCATTCGACTTCTCCTGTTCAGTTTTGGCATACAGTTCTAAAACTTTCAATCTTTATGTGACGTTCTTCTTACCTGATAAAAAGAAGTAGCCGTGTGCTGATCAATTATCGACTGTCTCTGTAGATTAACATTTGGCTTATTAAGGTATATAAGCATTCAATATTGATAAAAAATATATCCAGATATTTGTACTTGTCAAAACTTCTTCGTGCACACAAGATCTTTCGCCGCTCAAGGACTCTTCAGGTGTAATAACAACTTTAAAGTATTCATAGGCGACGCACAACAGCAGTATTTGTGTCTTCATAATACCGATAACGTAACAGTAACAATAGTGGGAGTCGTAAAACGTAGTCATAAGCGACAGCCAATATTATGTCTGTGACGTCACAATGGCTTTGACCTCATAGTGTCAATAGTGGGAGGCGTAAATACATTTAAGTATTGAAGTTGTATCTGCTGACGTTCATCTGCTGATGAAGACTGTGCCTCACATGAGCAAATTCCTTGTTGCAAATGCCCATGTCTTCGCTCAATTGACAACACAATAATGTGACATACTGACGTTCATCGGGAAATGAACTGGAAATCAGAGGATATCATAATTGAACACTGTATGTTCTTTACATAACGAAAATATGTAAAATCGACACGTTTATAATGTGTTTACCTGTTAACTGATACCGTCTGTAGTTTCAATCTTCTGCTATTTTGAAGAATAAGAGTAATCTCAGCTGAGACCCAAGCCTCTCCAGAGTGATCTCAGTCTTGGCTCAAATCACTCTAGAGTGATATACTTCTGTCCATGATTGATTGTATGTCCTGGTCTGTTGTGCATAAATGTATAACTATATTGGAGGCGTATGTGGTTGATGATGTGGGGTGTGTCCATGAAATGAAATATTGTTGTTGGGTCGCTTTTGCAGACATTTGCATCCTGAATCACCCTGTACATATGGTCACGACTTCGAGAATCCGTATCACAACATATTCATTATGTTGATTGAGTTGGGCCTCCAACACCGACTCCAGGGCCTTGGTTCAGATGAGTCCCCAAAAAGTCAGAGCACTCCACCCTCTTTGGCCCATATGTCTCACCATGGATCAAATCACTCCCAGTACTCTTTCATGTGTCCATGTTTGATTGTCCATGTTCTGGTTTATTTGGGTATGAATTTATAACTTTATTGGGGCGTGTGTGGTTGGTGTTGTTGGTCAATTCCCTTGTTGTTGCGTCGCTTTCTCAGACATATGCATCCCGAACCGCCCTGTAAATGTGGTCACAACTTCGTATCACTACATGTACATATGTATTTGTCCACTCTTTCACGCTTACAAAAAAGCGAATACTTTTACATGAGTAATGTCTCAATTAGGACTGCTGAAACCAAATTATAGTGATTCATAGACACGTGCTTTGATACAGTGGGAATTCCAGGAGCTTTTAAAGCCAAGTAAATGATGTTTCATTGGAAAATCGAGACGGGTTTTCCATAACAATAGGGCCCCGTGAGTCTCGCGAAGAGCTACTTCCGGTACCAGCATTTCCGGTGACATGCAAATAATCATGAACTAGTTCTGCTTTGGAAATGCGCGACCGCCAAAGCTTACTCTGTATACGGAACCAAGTATACTACCATGCTTGGTTGTCACCGCTGTTGACAGTCGTAAAAGTTTACTTATTTCGGAATAATATGATCGGTTATTTGTCGCTCCTCCAAGGTTTATTGGTTCCTGACTGACAACTGACAACCATAGGACCGTTCGTAAAGGCATATTTTATTTTATTTACCTTTAAAATAATTTTAACAACCAGTGCGGTACTATCGTTTAGATTATTACGGAGGATGTGTTACATGTTTCATGTTAGATTATTTATGAAGATGTAACTTCTAATAGGTAGTCCACATTACCCAACTTACCATGGTATTCTGGTATCTGACAGCAGTGTCATGGGAGTCGTGCCTTTGACAGTTGGAATAGGCATTAAATAATTATTAGATTTGGGGGATGACATTTTGAAAATCAATGCTATGAACATATTTATAAACGTGAAATTTATTTTGGGATATTCTATTAATTTACATTTTTAGTATTTATAGTACTTAATAAACCAGTCATATGCTTAAAACTTAAATTTAAAAATGCATTATATTTGATCGTATTTACTCTGTCAGACACCTTTAATAACGTAAATAATTTTCAAATGTGACATTTGTTAGTTTTGATGAGAGACTTATTTGTTAAATATGTTTTTCTTTATGAAGGAGGGTTTTATGCAATGTAGAAAGCATGTGCATAAATTGTTGTGTGATTATCAAAATTAGTTGGAATATTAAATGTGAATAGATATAATAATCTGCAGAATTATTATTACTTGCACTTTAGTAGGCTTGCACTGAAGTTTCACTCTCATCTACATGTACAGGATGACAGAAATTAAGGAAGACCACACACACACACACACACACACACACACACACACACACACACACACACACACATACACACACTCAAAAATAGTTTATTGAAATAATTAAAAGTTTAATTACTTTATTTGGGATGAATGACAGTCTCATTACTGTATTCTAAGCCCTGCCAGTAAATATATTAATCCCAAAATTATTTACACTAATTAAATAAATTACCTCTGTATTTGAAATAAATATATCAAACCCTTACCCGTAAAACACACATATCCCTTGATTTCGAATATACATTACTATGGGCATAATGCAAGTATGTCATTCCAAAAAATTTCAGGTTTGTGCAAAAAGTAACTGCTGTTAGTACACGTATTCAATATGAATATCCAGAGTGATATACATGTACTTATTTATCAATTTGTGTAAATATCATTTTTTAAGTCCAGTGATGAATAAAACTGGTGTTGGACAATGGTAATTTTACACTGTGCATTTACTTGATGTCCTAGTTCTATGTTGTTGCTCTGTTAACCATGTGCAGAACATAAATGGGTTTTTTTCTGGGTTGTGAAGGAGTGAATTGACATCATGAGCATCGATCCATGCAATTCGGATCGATGACATGTATCAACCAAGTCAGCGAGCCTGACCACCCGATCCCGTTAGTCGCCTTTCACGACAAGCATAGTCGCCTTTTACGGCAAGTTTGGGTTGCTGAAGACCTATTCTATCCCGGAATCAGAGGCAATGTATTGCTTGACCACAAAATATTCAAAGAAATCTGAAGATCTGTTACAATCCGAGATGCATGGAAAGCTGGTCCAAATGCAAAAGATGGATAACTCTTATGAGAACATATAACATATACTTCTAAAATACCAACAATTTTTACAATGCCTACATCAAGTTATAATAAATACATTAAGCATTACATTGTATCTTCAACTGAATATGCTAAACAAATGACAAATGGGTTTGTAATGATGAAGTCTATTCACACCATACAGAATGCATTTGAGTGAGGTCACTGTTGCGGCATGTGGAATTCCCTTACACAATCTAAATATAGCACGGGAATTACCTTCCTGTGACGTAATGCTTTGTAACCGGATGTAGCGTGGTTCTGAATACATGAGTCAAATGGAGACTTTGTTTTGATTTCTAGTAATCAATCAAGCTTATATAAAGTATTTTGACGCTGATTGATCAAGTGAAACATGATGTCAGAAGTGGCTGATTCCGTTGATGAACTTTAAAAGCGCGGTAAACGCCTGACATTGCAGATATTTAGAACTTTCAAACTCTTATCAAGCATTCGTTGTTGAGAACACGTTGATTCCACATTGGCGTCGTATCACATTCCCGCAACGCAAGAAATGAAACTTACGGCTGATGTTTCCACTAACTGGAAGAATTTAAAAGCAGAATGGGAGTTCTACGTTATTGCTACTAAAAGAAATTCAAGAGGCTGCGTTGTGTAGAGTTATGGGGATAGCAACAGTCAAAGTTTTGAACCGTTTAGGGGTTACTAACGAAGAAAAAAAAGATCCTGCTCTAATTTTGACTAAACTAAATTGGACATTTTCTGCCACAAAAAACATTTATTGTTTGAACGTGTAAAATTTGGACATGCAGATCAGGCTAGCAAAGATAGTGTAGATCAATATGTTTTCAGATTGCGTCAGTTAGTAGAGATATGTGAATTTGATGCATTAGAATCTGGATTGATCAGAGATACTCGTAGACTAGTGATAGGTACTACAGATGCACACACACGTGATAGACTTTTAATAGAAAGTTCCGAATCTAGAATGATGTATTGAATTGTTGAGAGCTGCAGAACTTTCACAAGCACACAAAGAAGATATTAAGTCAGAAATAAAGCAAGAAACAGTACATGCAAATCTGAAAGTAAAAGAGAGAACACATGACAAACAAAAGACTTAATTAAAGACTCAACAAAAGACACAGAGTGTAAGCAACAGAAATAACAGAAGTAACCATGGTAACAGACAACATGTATCATGCAAATACTGTTGTAACAGACACGCTTTCAACAGAAATATATGCCCTGCATATGGTTAGATTAAGTGTTCACAGTGTGGCAAGTTTAACCATCTCTCCAAGATGTGTCACATGAAAAGAAATAGAACTGTTCAACAGAAGCAGATTACACGGATCAGAGTGAAAGTGAAGATGAGTCTGATGAAGATGAATCTGTGTTTGCAGTGCATAGAGTAGGTTCCACAAGCAAGAAAACCGCAAATCACATTTTATAATACAGATGAAGTACTCTACTACCCATTCACATGCTTGCAAGACAACACAACTTGGCACAGGTGCGAGTTGCAGTGCTATGTCGTATGCAGATTTGATTGACATTCTACATACAGATCATGTCGACCTTGACCCACATGGAGGCAAGATGAAGTTTAATGATGAAAGAGTTATCACTCCTCTAGGCTCATACACGCTTGATGTAGAATACAACGGTAATCAAAGCAGAATCACCTTTGGTATCATCTAAACTGCTCCGTGGCCGATCAATCGATGGGAACACATGTATTAACTTGGACTGGATCAAGATAGTGAACCAGGTGAACCCAGAGGAAGATACACCTCCTTTAGAGACTTTAATCAAAGAATACAGTGATGTATTCAAAGGCCTAGGATGCCTCCCAGGTGAGTACCATATTGAAATTGATGAAAGTGTTCAGCCTGTCCAACATGCGCCACGTTGAGTGCCTGTTCCTCTTCGAGACAAGCTCAAGGAGAAGATTGACGATATGGATCAAAATGGTATAATCGCCAAAGTTACTTCTCCCAGAGACTGGATAAGCAGTCTAGTTGCAGTTCAAAAGTCACACATGCTCAGAGTGTGTATTGATCCAAAGGACTTAAACCGAGCTATAAAACGGCCCAAGTATCAAATGCCTGTGATAGATGAGATTTTGCCTAAGCTCTCAAAGGCAAAAATATTCACAGTTCTGGATGCTAAGGATGGGTTCTTTCAAGTCAAGCTAGACGAACCTAGTTCCCATTTGACTACTTTCTGGACTCTGTTTGGAAGATATCGCTATCTCAGGATGCCACAAGGGAATAAGCAGTGCTCCTGAGGAATATCAACGAAGACAAACAGAGGCGTTGTCGGGATTGAATGGTGTCGACGTAATCCATGACAATGTCTTGTGTTATGGTTCCAGTGACAATCTAGAAGAAGCCAAGAAGGATCACAACAGAAATCACCTCAATCTATTCAAGCGAGCCAGACAAGTCAACCTCAAGTTCATTCATAAGAAGTTTCGCCCATGTCTGAGAACAGTACCATATATGGTAGCAAAGCAAAGCAAGCAAAGGTTTACAACCTGATGCATCAAAAGTTGCAGCAATAGTCGATCTACCTCGTCCGAACGACAAGAAAACAGTTCAAAGATTGCTTGGATGCATCAACTACTTGTCAAAGTTCATGCCTAGACTCTCAGATGTGTGTGAACCACTCAGACAAGTGACCGAGAAGTCATGTGAATTCATGAGGGAGAGTCAACAAGAAGAAGCTTTCTCCACAATCAAGTCTCTCATAAGTATAGCTCCAGTGCTCAAGTATTATAATGTGAATGATGAGGTAGCCATTCAGTGTGATGCATCTGAATCAGGTTTGGGTGCTCCTTTGCTCCAGCAAGGTCAGCCAGTTGCTTTTGCCTCTAAAGCTCTTTCACAGATAGAACGTCCCTACGCACAAATCGAGAAGGAATGTCTCGCGATTGGTTTTTCCTGTACAACCAGTACATTCAAGGCTAGGATTTCATCAACGTTCAATCGGATCACAAACCCCTAGTTCCGATCTTTCTCAAGCTGCTTTACAAAGCTCCGAAGAGACTCCAGAGTATGCTCTTACGCTTACAGAAGTATAACCTCTCGGTAAGCTATCTACAAGGCTCAAAGATTTACATTGCCCATATGCTAAGTCATGCCTATATCAAGACCAAGTCGAAGGAAAATCTTGATAATGCAGAGTATCAAATATTTCAGATCACTCAAGAGAAAGAGTTGTTCAACGAGATCGCTCAAATCAATTAAGTAGACTACATGAGACTTTCAAACAGCACACATGCTCAAATTCAAGTTGTAACAGGTAGAGATCCAGCTCTACAGACCCTCATGACAACAGCGATGTTGGGATGGCCTGACACAAGGGACGAAGTGCCAGTAGGGATAAGCGAGTATTGGGCGTATCGTGCGGAACTGACAATCCAAGATGGTGTCCTCTACAAGGGCATGAATGGCATCTACCAGTGACAATGCAACCACAGATGATCGCAAGAGCGCATTCCAGCCTTTTAGGAGCTGATGCCTGTGTTAGACAGGCTAGAGATGTTCTTTCCTGGCCTGGTATGTCAGCTGAAATCAAGGACAATGTACAGTCATGCACAACATGTTCAGCATTTCAAGCTAAACAACAGAAAAGACCACTCATAACTCACAAGATACCACAACTGCCATGGTCCAAGGTAGGACAAGACTTGTTCACACTCTATGGAGATAGTTATCTAGTTACTGTCGACTACCACAGTGACTTCTTCGAACTTGACCAGCTAAGTGACACAACTGCAACATCAGTAGTCAACGCAATCAAAGCTCACTTCGCAAGACATGGAATTGCGGACATGGTAACTGATAATGGACAACAATATATGAGAGGAATTTGCATCATTCACACGTCAGTGGGAATTCGAACATTTGACAAGCTCACTATATCACAGACAAGGAATGGAAAGGCCGAGTCAGCTGTGAGAACAGCAAAGAATCTAGTCAAGAAGGCTAGACATGACAACAAGGATGTTCAAATGGCATTACTTGAATGGAGAAACACTCCAGACAGCTATGGAGTAAGCCCTGTGCAAAAGATAATGTCATGTCGCACGAGAACAACGATGCCAACAGCTGAAGGATTGCTGAAACCACAATCTGTTGACGTCTACGACAACATCGTACACAAGCAACAGAAAGCTAAAGTAGCTTATGATAAACATGCCAAACCACTTCCACAGCTAGAGACAGGTGACAGTGTGAAAATGCAACATGTAACCAATCCAAAACAACCATGGATTTCAGGTTCATGTGTAGCCAAAGTGGGAGCTCGCTCAGGTTGTATGTCCTGACCTACTGTTGGCACTGGTGGAATAGATTTTAGAAACTTCCTATTCCTAGTTTCTCAAAGTTTCTCAAACTTCCTATTCCTAGAAATAGGAAGTTTCTAAAATCTATTCCACCAGTGCCAACAGTAGGTCAGGACATACAACCTAAGTCCAGTGATACAACTGAATCAGTTAAATCACCTCCAGTGAAGATAACCACACCAAAGAAATCTCCAGGGAAAATCAGCAGTATTTCAATAAAACCACCACCAAGTGCTGATTCAAGTAAACCACGTCCTATCAACACTCAAGACCAAAAGTGGACGACGGACGACAGCCCCTGCAAAGTTCAAGGACCATGTGCTGTAGTCAAGTGCAGAAGAAATTCATATTAACTGTAAAAGTGTTTGATGTTATTCCAAAGTTTAAAAGTGCTTCAAAGTGTGTTTTAGTTTTCAGGAAATGACTTTTATATTGACTTTAATTATGTCATTCATTCAAAATGAGAATTTATTACTTCTTTTATGCGTAATTGTGTTTATGCTTATATAGTGACAATATTCATGTGCTTGAAGGAAAGATAAATGGAAAAGACTCTTGTGCCAATGAACAATGAAGATGATCATTGACTTTATACAGTATTATCAGTGAGATTTTATCATGTGCCAAAATGCTGATATTGCCACTAAGGACTTTAATTTCAATTTACACTTAATGCAGTCTTCCCTGCTTTCATAGTTTGTTTTATTGTTTATATATATAATAACAAACTCAAGAGACTCTGCAAAACAACCTTTACTGCATTCAACATATATCAACTTTATACATTGCCGGTATTGCATGGTATTGTCAACATTTTAGATTGTTCTATATTAATCTTAAAGGTTTTCTTTAAAGAAAGGGAGATGTTGGTGCAACGTGGAATTCCCTTACACAATCTATATATAGCACGGGAATTACCTTCCTGTGACGTAATGCCTTGTAACCGGATGTAGCGTGGTTCTGAATACATGAGTCAAATGAAGACTTTGATCAATCAAGCTTATATAAAGTAGCTTGACGCTGATTGATCAAGTGAAACAGTCACCTTTCAGAGATCTTAAAAACAAACACCGCAAGGATTTTATGATCATTATTTACGTATTAGATTAATAGTTTGTTATTATTGTTATCATCATGATATTGGCACATATTTTTTTTTATTAACACCAGAGACCATATCTATTTTATGGTCTCCGCTATTTTATTTTATCGGTACTTTCGTCTAATTGTTGCATACATTGGCTCGATCACGCGTTTGAGAATATTCATGGGAAGAGTATCGTTGCATTAATTATGGAATTACACATATATACATTACATTCAACAGAAGCCGTAAAAGTTTCCGTCCTGTGTGACGCCATGACTGACGCTAAATCACGCACAACGACGACGGTAGTTATCTGCATTTCTGACTAATTTTCTTTGTTACATTTGAAAGCATGGTAAACAAATAACAGTATGCATATTGTCAGAATGTTTCTGATTACTTACGTGACACATTTTTGTGTAAACGATGCCTCAATCAATGAAAATCCTCCACTGGAAATCCCGCGTACTGTTGTCAGTGAACACGCCATTTTGTAAAAGTCGGTCACCGGTAATGATGTCATACGGAAGTAAACATTGTTGTACATATACACATGCACAAAAGTTAAGCGCCACCATATTCATAGTCTCTTGATTTCAGGATAGCCAGACGAAATCCATTTGCAAGACCTTACGACATCATATTTAACATAGTAACGGGACCCGGTAGTAAAAGGGCAGCTGTCAATTTGATCGGCTGATGATCAATCGGCATCTTTTTCACAAGGAGACAGTTTCCGAGCCAGAGATTTAAAGGGTAAGCATGGCCTGAAAGCATAATACTATTCAGATATTTGTCGTTATCATATCTTTCCAGAATAAAATATCAATATTCGGGAGATTATTTGAAGACAATTCAAGTGTAATCTCTTTAACTCTTCTTCCTTGAAAATAAGAATGAAGCAAGATTAGAGTTACTCCCCCTTTCGGCAAAGCAGACGTCAATCTTGTCCTGCGAGAAAATTTGGCATATTATGGACGAATCAACCAATAGCAAAAAGCGGAAAAGACATTTTGGACCCGGCGAAATTGAAGTATTGTTAGCCGGCGTGAAAGCGAATATTGACACACTAAATTCGTCATTCACGAATTCTGTCACACATGCCCCTAAGAAGAAAATATGGTCAGACATCACTCAAACGTAAGTCCATGTTTCTCGTGAGACGTTGACAGTTGAGTGTACATAAAGCGTCCGTAAAATGTAAATATCAATGCCAATAGTTGAAAAAGGTTTATGTAATGAAACATTATTTCACAAATAAAAAAATAGAAAAAGAATCCCACAAGATGCTTAGATTTCAAGTAATGTTATATGGTGAAGCATCAGACTAGGAAAGACATGTAAGAGAAAGAGACACAAATATGAAAATACTTATTCAGATTTGTTTGTCAAAAAGGGCACATTTAACTGTTTTAGAATCAATGCAAGTGACACTACAGCAAGAAACGAGGAGGAGATACGAAAAAAGTGTATGGATCTTAAGACAGCAGTTCAAAAGGCAGAAAGTGAAAGGAAGGAAAACCAAAGAAGAACCGGTGGGGCCAACCCCTTATGTACTCTCCTCAATGGAAAAAGGATAAATAAAATATGTAAGTGATACACTTTTCCAGTACATAATGATATGTACAATCATGAAATAACACAAAAGACATAATTTTCTCAGATATATATAATCATTTCCTTTTTATTCTAGATCTAAGTTGATTCCTCGATGTGCAGTGGATCTTTGAGAATGCAACTCTACTTTTGGCTTTGGGATAGAGGCCGAAGAAATAGGTAATAAATCATTCACCTGAAAAATTTGAATTTGCACTTGATATTCTTTCATTTTCATAGTGGAATAAAGGTAACAATAGCATTTCATCACTGAACATACTGAAAACATAATAAAATAAAGAATGTTGCTTAAATGTATAGTATCTCAGTTGCATTATTTACATCCTGAATTAATAACAAATGAATCTGTATTTCAGAAGTAGATATGTGTCTTGGCATGGCTGTTGATGCCTTTGAAAGTGACAGCCAAACTGCCCTAACACCAAACTCAGGTAAAATTTGTAAATAATAGTAAATCTTTAAAAGAACTTGTTGTTTGTTCTAGATGTACACATTAACATGAAACTGACATAGAAATTAGTGACAATAAATGTCCGAGTTCAGTCAAGTAGAAAATTTAGAGAATGGGGTAGAAGGAGTGAGCTCAGATTCCTATAAATGTTTCCATGACTGAAGATTTTAAAACAAACAAATGTAATATAATACTGAGTCAAATTAAAAACTTCACATTTTTAAAAGTAATCCCATATATGATATACACCGGACAAATGTATCAAAGAAGGTATTTTTTAATCATTAATGTCCAAAGAAGGATATTAATTAACGGTGGTAACCATATTTTGTTCCAAGCACCAAGCACGGTATTCGGTAATAACATCAACAGTTTAAATCATAAGTCTCCCGCATTCTGAAGGAAATTCAGCTACGGACGATCCCGTCTGCAACATGCCGATGGCACGTTCACGTTGCACATTTGAAAGGCGTGGCATGACAAATGGCCGTAAAGACTTTTGTTTTCTTGTGTTTTTCTTTTTTTGTTAATGACTGCTAACAAGTATGCCTGAAAACACGTGCGGTATTATGGCAACGTGACCAGTTGCACGTGAAAAACCACTTTTGCCACTATAGTGCTGTGCACATGATTTTGATCGATTCACCTGCACAAAAACGGGTGTTATCTGAAGACAATACGTGGCCATTACTGTTTAAATACACAATAAGGGCCCACAATGATAACTGGTCAAAATGTTAAAATTTTAGGATTGTGAAGCTTTTAATTTGGTTCAGTATAATATTAATCTTCACTTAAAAATTATAGTTTTGAATAATTCTTTAAATTTTGTTATAAAGTTTCCTTAGGACTTAGCTTTCTGGTGTCCAAGAGTGAATGACCCAATTAACAAAATTGTTACACTGAATGGAATAAATAATATTTGTTTGTCGGTTAAATAGGATGACTACATGAAGACCCTGTCCGGGTATGAAGACAGGAAAGGGAAGCTCCTTGAGGGCACTCTGTGTGAGCTGAGATCCCTCAGAGATATTCAGCAGCAGGAGAGGCTCAACCTGGAAAGAGAACAAGTTCAGTTCATGCAAACCATGGACAGTAACAGCATGCTGTCTTCAATCATAAAGTTTTAAATACATGGACCTTAATAAATATTGAAATAAAAAAAGCTTTAATCATTCTAAATAGATCATGTGTTTTTGTCATACTTGAAAATCTAGACTGGATGAGAAGTCTCCTGACTTCATTTCGATCATCACTAGATGATGAGCTGTGTGGTTCTCATCACCTCCTATACCAGTGTCAGGTTTGTCGTGGGGAACTGAAAGTCTTAGGCTTACTGCCAGGTTGTGAAGCTGCACACATGCAGTGATGACAGCTATGCATTTTTCAGGTTCAAATAACAGGCACCCTAAGGATTTGTGCAAGCACCTGTAAAATAAGTTGTGTCTCAAAATCTGACATCACTTCATTAGTAATTACTATAAATTAACATTAGTCATTCAAGAATACCTTCAAAAAGAAACTCAAAAATAACATGTATATACTTACCTAAATCTTGATTTACATACTCCAAAGTCCCTCTCTATGGTGTTGTGGGTACCAATGTGGGCCCTATTGTACCTCTCCTCATTGGAGTTAGCTGGTTTCAGTACTGGGGTCAGTAGATGTGGTTTACATGCATATCTGTAACAGCATAATGTATTATTTATTTTCATAGCATGGTTAATTTGCATACAACAAACCTTTTAAGAACCATTATTCTTACATGTCATTGTAAACATATACAGGGGAATGATAGTAACTCTTTAACATCTTTATTTTTTCCTGTTTTCTCTTGCAGTCACCATCACATATGTTATACAAATAATTCAATTTGATCAACTATATAAGCAAAATGGTTGATTGGAAAGGTTTCAGAGTGAGATAATATGTAAGGAATCTGATTTATGGATTGCCTTCTTTGATACAGACAAGTCATTATCGATATATAGACAAGAGACCTCATGTTGAATATCATCAATGTTTTTACCCTGAATCATCAAGCAGCCATCCATCTGGTTTTTCTTTTCAAAGCTCTCTTCAGTGAATAGTTGTAGATGTGGGCATCACGTGCCATGTGTCTTCTGGCCACAAGACAACAACATTGGTGAAACTGGAAAACAAATTTAACAATTATCTCTAGTTATTGTTTGCTTATAATAAGGTTTATCGAGATAAGAAATCCCCTTCCTTAATTATTATTTTTAAAAAGAACATATTAATCATGTTAATAAATTATTATTGAAAAAAATAAATTTAGAATTAGTTTATACATTATTTCTATGGGTATTAACCATTAACATGATTATAGAGTAAAACGTTATACATTTATTACCAAAGTTCATAAGGTATGGATTATATTTTGTAGTTAAAACTATTATCGAGCGCCGCCAATTAATACTTCATACAGTCTTGGCAAGTCTATGTACCACATTTCCGGTAAAGGGGTCAAGGACGTGTTATTTGTTAGTTACCGAAGTTTAGCGTCGCACACTGCCTGAACATTGATAGCGTGGTACCCTTTTCGTGATACATAGGCGACCTCGTCTTCTTTAGGCCTCTGTATAGGGATGAGGGTGCAGTCAATATATCCAAGAACCTTTGGGAAACCACAGATTTGGTGGAATTCTTCCATAAGTTGTCCGTGCTTGGCCAGTGGTGGAAAATGTATCAGTCGGACGGTACGGAGAATGGCGGACGTGGTATCGGCAAGTACTCTGGAAACACTTGACTCCGTGATTGTCACCGGTCTCGCCGTGAAGGCCCCCTTTAGCAAAGTATCTCAAGGAACACAACGCTTGGACCTCTGTAGATAGTGCACGTGAACGCTGAGTCGGTTGAGACAGCTGTTCATCGACTCGATTCACCAGTTCAATGATGACATGTCTCGGGAATCGATATCGCGAAATCAAATCAATATCATCTAAAACATCTAATGCCCGACTTCTGTCCCTGAAAACACGTTCTCTCACGATACCATTTCTGTTAATAATTTCTAAAAGGAATACATGTGTCGCCATGATGGTTTGAATTTGCGAGGTCGCAACTACATTAGGAGAGCCCTAGGGCAAAATACGCTGAAGTCGGAAAGCGCACGTAAAATCTCCAATGTACTTACCGTTATACGACAATTCAGATCACGTTGTTACAGAAAATGAAGCTATATTTAAGGCAGTACAACATTATATATGTACAACTAAAAGATTTGTGTAAAGAACTGTTCATTCAACAATGTATCCCGTTCACTCCTTGTGAATAAATATGCTTAAATCAAATCAGAGGTCTTTATGAAACGGCCTTGAAAGTTATGACATGGTTTACGACGTGGTTTAGGAGGTCGTAGCTCCAAGAGGCGTTTGTGAAACGGCACCCTGCTTATTACTGTCTACAAACTGAAAAAGATGGTGGATGATAAATTAAACCTCACCCTCGGAGATTATCCAGTGTTGATATATTTGACATCAAAAGACACGAAAAGAGATTCTCTACTTACTCCAGAACTGGTATAGATTACTTTAACTTAGGGGGAGAGTGTATGTAATTATCAGAACTTTGGATTTTGGCAAGCGTCGTGCTCTGGGGGTCGTTTGGTCGGATTTAAAGGATTCGGGGCTTCTCTACGTTGCCCAGCTATGACTATTGGGAATGGGATAAACTTACTCACTCACTTGCCTCTAAAACAAATGTTGTCAAATTTACGACGTCATCAAGCTGCGAGTGCGTGTTCAAATCTACAGAAATGACGTCATGATAGAACAATGTCGCGAAAAGAAATCTTAGTCCGTTCTTTGTTCATAGTGATTTATTTCATAGCTATCTTATTTCATCAAATATTTAATTTCTCGTTGCTGTATCATGACGTGTCCATGTCCAACCAACAGCATACACACACATCATTGTCTTCGACGAACAATAGAGTCATGATATATGATTATTACCCATATGGGCTAAAATATGCAGTGTAATAACTTTTTGATATTTGCACGGTGTGCAATTAGTGATTCTCGGGAAGTGACGGTGGTATTCTTTTCCATCTTCCGGACACTTTAATGTTTACACTATTTTGGGACATTCATATACTCAATTTCTTTTGTTAAATTATAATCAGCATGTTGAGGGTTGACCTTATGATATTATGAAAGCATGTGCCTGGACAACGTGAGAAAATGAAATGTCGCATTCTCGCGATTTCGTGTTCATGTGGCCTGATCTGACGAGATTGCGAGATAATCGAGTTGTGGACTTTTGACAAAAAGTGCTGTGCACAAAAGAGACGAGAATGCGAGATTTTTGCCAAATCTCGCGTTCTCGCATTCTCGCACTTTTGGCATATTTAGCTCATTTCCAAAGGTCGAGATCGCGAGAATGTCCCTTACAGTATTCCATAATTTCCAGATATGTCACGCGTCAACAACTTGACTCGCTGTCGAATATGAGACGCTTTTTCAAGTAGACAAACAAATGTCAGACCTTGGTGAGTATACAACTCAAGCTGCATTGTCAGGCGCTAGAAGGTTAACAGTCATATTAAACATTAACATAACTATAAATTTGTAAAGAAAAGATTTGATCACATGCCATTGCAAATTGCAGTTGAAGGTATTTTATTTCATATCAGAACTTTAACATACATTCACATACAGCAACAATATCTATTACATCATAAAACATGGCGAAGGTACTTTATGTTAAGTGGAGTGATACTTATAGACTAAATAGAACAAATAATTAATGTCAAGTACTTTGAAACTAACCTTTTACTCCTGTGATGTGCATTTCAAAGTGACCACGTGGTTAATAAGATGTGCAAACTCAAAAAGCATGAACCTAATCACCAATCATAATGAATGAAAAATCGCCACATGATCAATATCATTAACACCTTATCCACGAACCAACCCACATTTTGTTTTACTTACCAGAACAACTTTCACCAAGAATAAAGATGTTTTTGAACTACGAGTTGAAATACCAACTGATAAGAATTGAAGATGAGACCGAAATACCAACACAACTGAGAATACAACAAAAGCACAGGATAACTGTAAATAACATGAAAGTGACAACAAATTCAATATTCATAAGAAATCTTTGCTGAAAGCAGAGTCCTTAGGACGATTCCGACTATATCATGGGCACGTGTTTATGAAATATTATCAAATAGTGATGACACCAGGTGTTCATGAAAAGGCATGCGTCAAATTTGGAAATGGCTTCCACATGTCTAAAATAATACTTTTTGAAAACTTTACTTAGGCCTTGAATGTTGTAACCTTGATCAAACAAATTTTAAGCAAGAGTCGTGTGACACTCTTTGAAATCTTAGTAGAAAGCGCATGCCCGATCGTCCCTCAAAAGTTGTGAAGCGTAGACACTAAAGGCTGCAGCTGCTGGAAAATTGCTCGACATAAAGGTAAAGTTTACTATTGTAGAGTTGAAGTCATCCCTCTTGTCTTTAAGTCTTGTAGAGATTTTTTTTCACATGACTTTTCTATTGTGCATATGAAGACATGTATTTGATGCACTATGACCAAATATAACGTATACAATACATGTATATGTATGTGTTATTCCTTTTTGAACACAATGTTCCTTCTACTCAGAGTATAGTCAGAATTGTTCAAAGGCTTAGCATTTTTGCCAATCGTATATGGTTTCAACTTGAATCGTTTCATCATTTCTATTATATATGGTGCTTCTGGGTTTCGGAAAAGTTTGTCCCATTCAATAATTACCATGCGTACGTCAACCACATTGAAGAACGCCTCAGCGCCCTTCATCACCTGAACCTCGTGGTCCTCACAGTCAAGTTTCAAAACAGCGGACTTGATGTCAAACATCTCCAAAAGATCGTTCATCCGAATGGTGGTTATCACGTCGCTGCTTTGATTGAGGTTAGTTTTCTTCTCAATACGAGTATGGGCAATACTACCCTTGTGAATCTTAAAGGCGATAGGTTGCCTTACATCAGACATTGCGTTGTGTATGACAAACATCTGTCCAACAAACCCACCTTTTACCACACCTCGGCACAGGCGTTTGGTGTTGACATCATACGGTTCAACGGATATGACCCTATTCCCCAGTTTAGCTGCAGCGAGACTGAATGTTCCAATATTTCCCCCGACATCGATGAAAACGTGTTCTTTATTTTCTTTCAGTATTTCAAAAGAAGTGTACATGACATCCGGCTCCCAAACGCCAACTTTCTTCAGAGAGTTCGAAACAACGGTATCGTCCTTGATAGCGTGGATGAAGATGCGCGTATTTCCAGCAGGTGTTTTTAGAGTCGCCTCATCATACACCTCATCCTCCGAACACATACTGTCGTCTGCTACCCATGACCCGTTCGTTCTTTTGTGCGCAATTCCGTGCCAGGAAGGCATCTTCTTAAACGGCTGTGATTGAGGCAACGGTTCGGCCCTCACTTCAACTGGAAGATGCATCTCATTCACCGCCCCTTTGATGTCCAAAGACAGCTTACTAATGGAGGTTTCAATGTCACCAAGTTTCCCGTCCATGTCGGACTTTGATACCTTGAAATAAACAATTGCGTAAACAGCTGCAACTGTTATTGTTAACACAAGCACACGTCCGGAATATGATCGAATAATTTGCGATGACATTTTGTTTCAAGCATTAATATTCTGCAAACATCAGATTTCACGTAAAAACTGGACCAGAAATGCTCCGTGCTCAGCCTGAGGTGCTTGGGACTGTGTGACTCTCAGCCTCACTGCTCAATGTTATATACTGTATGTAAAGAAATTTTCACAGGACGAAATGTCAGATTTTACACTTTAGACATCAATGCAAAAGAGGTGGGACATATAAATTACGCTTTTGATACAAGGATTTACTTCATCCAAAACAATGACAAAATTCAATGTATTTATCTACACACTGATTTATCGCTTTTATTGTTTCATTTTGCAAACATAACAACGTCCCACAGTACAATGCGTATTTTCAGAACAATTGCAGAATCCATAAGACATTGTTATGTATACTGAACAACAAAAGTTCCTGTTACATTGAATAATATATAATGTAAAGTTATGTTTTTGACCAAATCTGAAACAATTTCGGTTTGCAACAGATACAAGACTCCTGTAATTGTTCAAATTGTTTAATATGCCATACTGACTTCAGAAAATGCGTGATTTCATAAAAAAAACATGAACATGCCAACATGTCAATTTACAAATCAATAGCGTGTGAGTTCACCTCTGGTTGCGATGCAAGCAACACATCTTCATCTCATGGAATGGACCAGGCGTCGCACAATGTCCTGTGGGATATCTGTCCATATCTGCTGGAGTATGTTTCGAAGTTCCTGGAGTGTCTGTGGAACACGTGGTTGACGTCGAAGGCGCCGATCCATCTCATCCTACATGTGCTCGATTGGTGAGAGATCAGGGGAGCGAGCCGGCCAGGGGATGACATTCACGTTGTTTTGTTGAAGAGCATCCTGAACAAGTCGACCAATATGAGGCCGGGCGTTGTCATGTTGAAAGGTAATGCTTGGGCCATAACGACGAAAAAAAGGAAGAACAACAGGGCCGAAGGTCTCGTCGCGCTAGCCCTGTCCATTGAGATTTCCCTCTACAACTATGAAACGGGTCCTCTGTCTTGCTGTAATCCCATCCCATACCATAACGCTGTCGCCCCCGAACCGATCTTCTTCCATGACACAATGATTGACGTAACGTCCACCTCGACGTCGGTACACTCGAGGTGAGGTGAGGTGAAATGGGGTTTAACGTCGCGTCCAAGATTATTGCACTTATATAGGGACGTCGGTACACTCGAATCCGTCCATTGCTGTGGCTGAGGTGAAAAAGAGGCTCGTCAGTGAATAGAACTTGTCCCCACTGCATGGCCGTCCAGCGTAGCCGCTGTCTGCACCACTGTAGACGTGCTTGACGGTAGTTTCCTGTCAAAATGGGACGTCGGGTGGGTGACAATCCCTGCACATCTGAGGCGGCGACGTTCATTTTGTGAAGATATTCGTCCAAGGCCAGGGATGCTTCTGGCAGTCACTGTTGCTGGCTGGAATCGATTTCGTAGGTGTGTTGTTCGAATCCAGTTGTCTTGTCGATTATTGGTTACGCGTGGCCTACCACTCCGAGGATGGTCTCTGACTGCGTTCGTCTGTTTCCAACGTTGCCATAAGCACCAAATGGTGTTTCTGTGGACGTTAAATTGTCTTGCAACATCACGTTGACTCTATCCTGCTTCAAGCATACCAATGGCTCGCAGACGCACATTTTCGGACAGGCGCCGCATTTCGTAATGTTGAATAATTGCGAAATTTTGTTGTTTTTCTGAGTTGTTGTTGTCAGCACGATGCTAAACAATGCATATGGAATCCCGTTAACGTACATGTTTTATACCCATTCTTGGGTAGTGAAATGCATGGGGCTTGCATAAAAGTCAAATGTCCACTTGGTATTGTCGTACAGTCGACTCCGATCAGTGTCCTATCCAACATTATGTCTTATCCGAAACATATGTTGGTCCCTGTGCAAGAGGTCCAAATCATTTCACGATGTAGCAGGCGCAAATTAATCCCTTAAAAACTTTCTCTCGAGGGCCTTTAGCCAAGGCTCAGGTCACTCCACTCTGCTAGGTCCACAACACTCGCTCAAGGTTTAGATCTTTCGGATGCGCACAAATGAATCCCCTACATTTTTACCGCATTCGACTTCTCCTGTTTAGTTTTGGCATAGAGTTCTAAAACTCTCAATCTTCATGTGACCTTCTTCTTACCTGAAAAAAGGAAGTAGCTTTGTGCTGATCAATTGTCGACTTTCCCTTTATATTAACAATTGATTTCTTCAGGTATATAAGCAATCAATATAGAAAGAAATATATCCAGATATTTGTGCTTGTCAAAACTCCTTCGTGCACACAAGATCTTTCGCCGCTCAAGGGCTCTTCGGGTGTAATGAAAACTTTAAAGTATTCATAGGCGACGCACATATTTGTGTCCATATAATACCTATGACGTAACAGTGACACTAGAGGGGTGGAATAGGTAACAGGCGACAATGCTTGGCGTACGCGTAAGAGGCGGCTAACGGGATGGGGTGGTCAGGCTCGCTGACTTGGTTGATGCTTGTCATCGATCCCAATTGCGTGGATCGATGTTCATAATGTATATCACTGGATTGTCTGGTCCAGACTCGATTATTTACAGACCGCCGTCATATAGATGGAAGTCGACAAGCATAGTCGCCTTTTACGGCAAGCATGGGTTGCTGAAGACATATTCTGCCCCGTATCTTCACGGGTCTATATGTACCCTACTCACACACATGAGTCCCATTCGTCAGTCTACAACCTACTGATAACTGTCAAACACAGTTTGGGTACCGCTTATGCACAGGCAAGTTGTTTAGTTCAATAATTTTGTATTATCTTCTATTTCAATTTGTTTTTACCATGTTTCCAATACCCTTTTATGCATGTTTACGTTGCTCAATGTTATTGCTTATGTTCCTAAATATTATAGAACACTTTAATGTTTCTCCTTCCTTATCTAACGTTATAACATTTCAGGTCATTACCATCATCTAGGGGGCACCGGTGGCCCAGTCGTCTAAGGCGCCGCGATTCGCTGTGCACGCCAGAAACCTCTGATTGTGGGTTCGAATCACGGTTCGCCCCGATTATGTGATCGTTGGTTTCACCGAAGTGGTAAACGTCTGAGACCTGCATCACTTCGGGCTTTCCTCCCACATTAAGCTGACACGCCGCGATATAATTGGAATACTGTTAAAAGCGGCGTTAAACCAAACTCAATCACCTACACCATCATCTAATACACAGGAGATGATACCAAGACATATTGTATTCGGTTTTAATGTCGAGTGCATTTTTTCACAAACAGGTTCGTTAGCTGATATGAGGAATGTAACATCCAGTTGATTTTCCAGTTGACGTACTTACTGGGTTTTGGTTTTTGTTGTTGTTGTTTTATCTTATCAAATATAGAGGAATGTATACGGCATACGTCAGTCTGTTAACGAAGGTTTCACAATTAATATTTTGAAAAAGTCAGTTATACGCCAGTTGTGACACTGATGATGGTATGGTAGCTGTAGCAGACAGATTGAGAGCGGTTGTTACGTGCGTCACTCGGTTATTAGAACGGCATTGGCCTTGATGATTGTCACTATACTTTGAGGATTTCTGTGGCCAGTGGCGGGCGTAATTCAAACTACTTCCACACTGACATCGTTAGATCTCTCCGTTGTTTTGTTCGTATTACTATATGGAGATGATAAGGTTTGTTAGCTTTTAATCATCAAAATTTACAAACTATGTTTCATATTTCTTCACTTAACTGCAGAAAATGGAGATTGCATATCCATACCAGTAAAAAAATTTTTATAGTTTTTGGTGGTACCAAAAGAGACAAGAGTAAACATATATTTTTAAATGGCTCACCAATCGAATATGTCACTGATTATAAATATCTTGGAATTCACTGTACAAATAAAAACTCTTTCAAAACTTCAATAAAAGCAAATAGTTGATTCTGCCACTGAGGTCATGTACTTTGTAGAACGTAAAAGTAAAACATTTAATCTATCCATAAAATGTCAATTATATCTCTTCGGTGCTATGGTAAAACCAATTCTATTATATGTTTGTGAAATCGGGGGTTTTGAAAATTGTAAACAAATTGAATCTGTTCAACTTTTTACGTAAATTGCTTCCTATTAAGAAACGTACACCTTTATACATGCTGTATGGAGAACTTGGAAGAGTACCTTTAAGTAATTCTATCAAATGTCGAATGGTATGTTTTGGGGCTAAGGTTTTATCTGGCAAAGAACAAAAGTTATCAAGAATTCTATATCAAATGTTATACAATGAAGTCTGTACAAACAAGCAGTTCCTCCTAATGTCCTTAAATCTATCATGTCGTTAAGATTATCTGATATAGCAACTCAAACATGGAGTGCAGAGATTACACATTCTTCTAAAGGTATCACATATCGCATGTTTAAAACTGAACTCGTCCTTGAAAAGTATTCATTAGTTATCCATTTTTCGTTGGCTGTGAAATTCCTTCTGTTTAGAACCTCATGCCACCATTTACCTTTGAACTAAGTAGGTGGCACAAAATCCCTGTCAGTGAACGAACGTGTAAACTCTGCGACATGAGCGATGTTGGTGATGAATTCCATTATATATTTGTTTGTCCTTTTTTCAAACCCCAACGGAAAACATATTTTCCAATTTCATATGCTAAAAACACAAATATGTTTATATCTAAAGAACTTTTTAATTGTAAAAAAATAAATGTTATTAATTCTCTGCAAACATCAGATTACTAACACTATCAACTCAATCTGTACAATCTGTAATGTCATTATGAAAACTGTAAACTCTCGCATGTAAACCATCCTGCCATCTTATGTATTTACTGTTTGCAAACTTGTTCTTCATATGCCGAGGATCCCGGCCTGAGCGTAAATAAAGTTCTGTTCTGTTCTGTTCTGCATCAAAGATATTTGTGTACCGATTACATAACTCTTACTGACAGGGTGTGGTGGTAGTTCACGCGTAACGGACGACAGTGTGTCTATATGGCAGCTCCCTTGATATCGCCTCCAAACATACTTTTATTGAATGACCCATTAAATGATGATACACATCAGGATCGCGGAGAAAATACAAGATTCGTTCAT